GGGCTACGCGGAGGAGAACTGAAGACCGAACCTCTGAAGGACCTGGCGCACCCAGTGTGACTAGCTAAGAGTGATGGTGCGCGCTGCTCTGTCCCTGGAGATCTGCAGCCAAAGGTAGCTGTGTAGCTCTCCTAGGTCAATGCATGTGTGTCTCCTCAGCAGCTCAGCATTCACCGAGGCCAGAGCGCCTTTGTCTGCGGTAGCAAATACCATGCCGTCCACGTAGTCAAGGATATAGAACAAGGTCTGTCCTGAACAGACAAAAAGTGAAGGGTCTGCAGACAATGGGAAGAATTGTAAGTCAGCTAACGTAGCACGCAGCGTGTCGTGCGATGCACGGGGCGCCTGCCGCAGGCCGTAAACTCGGCGTCGGAGGAGCCACTTGGTCCTAGGGACAAAGGTGCCAGTGAACCCCGGCAGACGACGCAGGTAGACCTGCTCGTGCAGACTGCCCTGGAGGAATGCTGTGGAGAAGTGAAGAGAGTGCAGCTCGTAGTCACGCTGTGCTGCTACGTGTAGCAGAGCCCGGAGAGTGGTCATCTTCGGGGTCGGGGCGAAGGTCTGAAAGAATTCAACCCCCTCGCGCTGACTGAAGCCTCTAGCAATGTAGCGCGCCTTGAACACCGGCGGCTCTCCATGAGGGCGCTTCACCTTGAAGAGGCACCGGCTATCGACGTAGGTGCCAGTGGATCTCCAAGATGCCATCTCCGCGTCCATGGCAGCTATCCACTGAGAGGCTCAAGGTCCCAAGGTCGCCTTAGTGTAAGTGTGAGGGGTCGGTATGTCAAAGGCGTCTGGGTCACCCTCAGGGACTAGTAGCATGGAGCAGAGATGAGGAGCGGCCTCGGACAGGAAAGCGAGCTCATACTGCCGGTCCTCCATGACGTCACTGCCGAGGGCAGGAGCACCCTCGACGGACGGAGGACAGGCAGGGTCAGAGAACAGAGCGGTGGCGCAGTCAAAGCGGCGGGTAGAGGCAAAGTCAGCGTCGGCAGCGATAAGAGTGTCAAGACTCGAGACAGGAACAGACGGGTTGGTAACGAGGGAGGCAAGGACTCGATGAACAAGAGGTCTAGCGGCACGAAGGAAGTTTGACAGGGGAGGCGGAGCGACAACAAGCGACGACGGAGGAGGCGACGGGAGGATGGGAGTACGAGACGCGTGGAAAATGGAGCAACATAGGGTGAGAGTGCTGAACAGGAGAGACAGGACGAGCACGAGAGGGATGGCGAGACCAGAAGTGGGACGGAGGCGTCGGGTCAGGAGACACAGGAGGAGACAGAGGAGGAGAATAAGGGGGGAAACGAGCCGGAGACGAGTCCGGCAATGGAAACACAGGGCCATAGACAGGCAGTGAAGGCGGCGGTGGGGGAGGCACAGGTGGGTGGTCAGGGGAGGGAAGACCAAGGAGTCGAAGGGCGAAAACCGGTGGCGTCTGCTGCTGCTGCTCCACGCCAACACCCCTAGAGCGAGAACCCTCTCCAACACCGGGGCCACCCATAGGACCGCCGGGACGAGCCACGATAGGTCCCCCAGGACTAGCACCCCCAGAATGAGAACCCTCTCCAGCACCGGTGCCACCCCCACGACCACCGGGACAAGCCACGACATGATCCCTAGGACTAGCACCCTCCTCAACACCCGCATCCCCAGAGCGCGGGGACCCCTGCGGCAACTGCTGCTGTGGCGGTGCCGACGGCGACTGCTTTTGCGGCGGCGACGACGGCGGCTGCTGCGATGGCGGAGGAGGAGACACCGGGGCTGAGACAGGCGGCGAGAACAGCGCTGCGGGGCCAGCAGTGTCAGCTGACTCCTCGACCGGGACAACCGACGGGAGACGGGGTAGGACGGGGAGGGAGTGGAGCAGGATCTACCAGGGGAGTGGGAACCAGAAACAAGTGCGGCAAAACCGTGAGACCTCGGTGGGGAAAGCGTTGGTAGAAGGAGACAGACTCGTTAAAAGTGACAGCACGGGAGTGAAAGAAGCGGTGAGACGGCGGGTGGTAAAAGTGCCAGTCAGAAGCGTCGAGGGGGAAACCAAGGAAGACACAGGGGACAGTGCGGGTAGTGAGCTTGTCCATGCCAGAGGCACGAACATGAGCAAGGCAGCCCCAAATGTGGAACACAGAGGCGTCACGAGGGAACCCGGTCCAGAGAAGGGTCAGCGAAATTTGCGGCCGCTGGGAGTGCTGCCACAGGTTAAGCTGGTGAGCAGCGTAGCGAACAACGAACGACAAAAAAAAAAGGGGTGCACCGGTATGGATCATGGAGGTACGAGCCACCTCCATGACCAAACCGATGTGTCACTCAGCGACCCCATTCTGTTGCGGGGAGTCTGGCAGGGTGTACGACTTAGTGATGCCCTCCGCACGACGGAACTCGCCAAGCCGACCGGAGGCGAACTCGTTGCCACGGTCGGAGTGGAGACGCAGCACAGGGAGGCCGCGGTGGACTCGCGCAGCTACGAACCACGGGATATGAATGTCAGGCACGTCGGCCTTCCGTTCCACGGGAAACACCGAGGTGTAGCGCGTGTAGTCATCGACAAGCACTAGAAAGTAGCACTAGCGACGTGGCCCAGGGACGGGGGCTGGGCCCCAAACGTCCAAGTGCAAGGTCTGGAGTGGCGCATTGGTAGGGGGAAGCGAGGAGGAGTGAGGAGCACGGCACAATTGGCCCTCGACAAAAGGTGTGCATGGCAGTGCACGCGAGGGAGGAAGGGCAGGGAGCGACGCACGGAGACTGAAGGCAAGACCATGATGGGACATGTGATGTAGACGCGGGAGTGCAGGGCGACCTAGGCGTTGGTGCCACAGCAGCGACGGGTGAGTGAGCGACCGACACGAGCAAGGCGCAGCGATCTGGGTCGACACAGGCACCTGGGGGGACGCCCTCACCCGGGGGGGGAGCGCGACTGATAGCAAGCTGCGCAACTTCGTTACGCGACTCCCGTAAGGAGCGAGCGAGCTCAGCAGTTGCAAAAGCCTCACGTTCAGCAGGCATGAGGGCGTTAGAATAACGCTCTGATACCATGTTAGAATAACGCACAATATGAACTAGATTGTGCCATACAGGGAGGTTTTGTGCTATGGTGCTGTACCCTCTATGAGCATGCACCTATCTAGCCTATAACATATACAAATATATGTTGACACTAGTTACCACCCTACTTTTGGGCTTGATAACAATTGAACACCCCCCGCCACGTAGAATCCTTATTTTGACACGGAACAACAGAATTTGCAGTGAATAGTTGCATCGTAAACGTGAGGGCGAATGGGGGAAACGAGTGGGTGGTAACCCGAATGTTTCCAAAACGAAAAAAAAAAAAAAAAAAAAAGGTCGAAACCTCGAAATCCAAATTGTTTATCCTCGACTCTCGCGCCCTCCCACCAAAACAAGCATCCGCTGCCGCCCACTGATTGGAGGCAGCAAGGACGAGGCCTGCAGCACTCGTTGATTGGTTGCTTTGCCAGCCTCGTCCTTGACTCAACTAGTTTAGCTGACAATGTGGCAAGCAGAATGGCTGCACTGTAGGGTACGCGTTGAGGACACGAGATGTTGATATGTGACACAAAACAAAGTGGTGTAACATGCACAAATATTTTGGAATTGAAAGCCGCCTATGCACGTTCCATAGAACCATGGTTTTTTTTTTTTTTTTTTTTTTTTTTTTTGGCCTTTAATTCCACCCACCCCAAAATTTTCGTTAGTTTTTATTAGCTCCCTAGGGCACTATATCTGGGAGAATACGGTATGACAATCTACACTATCAAGACCACAAATTCTGGAAAGGGCACGATGGAAACATCTTGTTCCTGAAAGTGAACACTTATGCAGCTGCTGCATCTACTGTTGTTGCTACTGCTGCTGTTGTGGAGGGCGGACGGGCACCATGTCATGTGGTGTTGGTTGGGGAGGGGAGAATATGACGAAGGGAAGGAAATGAGGCGCTGATGATGGCCGAGAGCACAAGTTTCAGAAATGCAGGAGAGACGCGAGAGCAGAAACAGTCAATGAGGCACAAGCTAACTCAAAAGAGGGAAACCAATGATGCACAGCAGCAGCAGCAGTAGCACACATGTGTGCTCCGCACGATGCATGCGTTTTGTCGTCTTGCGGAGTGATTCTTTATTTAAAAAAATCACGGGGAAAAATACCACTCTACTCTACCAAGCATGTGGAATGTTCTCTGAGACACGCACATGGTCCTTGTGTGCAAGGAACAATGGAATAACTTATGCTATTCTATGCGAAGGGTACATTAACTTGCGGAATAGCATAGCATGCCCACAAGTCGGCTGGAGCGGGCAGGGACCGTGCCTAGGAGGAGCGATTGTGATGGGAGGTGAACGAGGGTGCACTGTAGAAAGAGGAGGAGGGAACAGACATGACCAGATGGTATAAGACCATGAAAGGGATAAAAACACATGCATGAAATGTATATAATGTGTGTGTGTGTGTGTGTGTGTGTGTGGGGGGGGGGGGGGGGGGTGTGTGTATGTGTGTGTGAATGTGTGTATATGTGTGTATGTGTGTGCATGTGTGTGTGGGTGTGTGTGTGTGTGCGCGCGTGTATGTGTGTGTGTGTCAAATCCGTGTGTGCGGAACCATTGAAGCATGATACAGCTCAACTTTGAATGGATTGTACTTACATGTCCCCCTCCTCGACATACTTACTAGCCTTGCTATCCCTCATTTCCTCACTCTTCTCACAACGTCCCATTTGCTGTCAAACTTCAGAATTCTACAGTTGCACTGAGCACAACCCTCCCACACATTCTCCCACCCACTCACTTGCTCCTTCTCAACCGTCTCTGTCAACAAACATATGTTACTATATATCTATATTTAGTTAGGGTGGACATGTTTGCTATATTTAGCCTAGCTAGAACAGCTTTTAGAAAGGACAACACACTACTTTTATCTCCCCTCCACAGTCACAATTTGCTCTCGCAAATTTAACATGGTATAGAGATAGGTTAGGACAATTTCCCGACACAACACTTCCACCGTTACAATAGCTCCTTTTTTTCTTCTTCTTCCTTTTCTTCTTCTTCTTCTTCTTCTTCTTCTTCTTCTTCTTCTTCTTCTTCTTCTTCTTCTTCTTCTTCTTCTTCTTCTTCTTCTTCTTCTTCTTCTTCTTCTTCTTCTTCTTCTTCTTCTTCTTCTTCTTCTTCTTCTTCTTCTTCTTCTTCTTCTTCTTCTTCTTCTTCTTCTTCTTCTTCTTCTTCTTCTTCTTCTTCTTCTTCTTCTTCTTCTTCTTCTTCTTCTTCTTCTTCTTCTTCTGTACAACCGCTTCGTAGTTTTCCCCCCCGCCCCCCCCCCCACTAAGTGTGTCCCTTTGTTTCGTACGCAGCCTGCCAGCCAGCACGTAAGCCGACTAGCCTACTTGCTAGTCAGTTCGCTCGCCAGCCAGCTACAAGTTATATTCCCCTGAGACCTGCGGCGCGACCCGAGACATTTCCCTGACATGGAATAATGGCGGTACGCTACGGGCAGACGGGACGATACAGTTGACAAGGGTTTTTAAGCCTTGGATTATATGAACTGTTCATGGTTTGCGGTGTTGGCGTATGATGCGATCATGTGTCGCACACCTGCTTGCACGCGTATCTTCTCAAGGTTCATATGTTCTCACAAAAATCATCGTTTCTATCTAGACAAAAATTGACGAAGATTGTAACTAGACTTTGTTGCGCAACTTGGCTGTGTTGCGCAACTGGAAACAACACGCCCCCTACTACAATCAGGTAACAACACAGATGTACTACTGTAGAGATATTCCGAAAGGATTTTGTGCGCCAGACGTGGAGGCTCATAGCTGGCTGGGCTAGTGGTCCACCGAATCTCCTCCCAATGATGTGGATCCGACGCCACGCATTGGTTGGCGAATCTGACACGAACTAAGGGCGTGTCCAGCGCGTACGTTTACAGTACACGGATCACGGTTCAGTATGATATATCGCGATCAGGAACGGTTTTCGCACATCACCACGTTGGACCTCTGCAATCCATATTGAACTGTATAAAGTGAATTGTAAACGTGCGCACTGGACACGCCCTAAAAGTTTCAGTTCGCCCACCATTGAAAATCGTCGTTTCAAATCGCACCAACATGCTGATTGGCTGTCGGAAATATTCCATGAATTGACCGTAATGACAACTGTTGACATGACACGGGTGTACGGTGCTTACAAGGAGTGGTTTATAAGGATAAAATACTTATAGAGTACTACGTTGCATCAAAGGCATAAGCCTACAGGTTTATAAGGATAAAATACTTAGCCAGCGCTAGCTGCGCCAGCCTGCCAGCGCTAGTTGGTGATTGTGCTGGCCGCCACCAGATCGTCGCCAGCTAGGGCGCTGGCCAGCCAACCAGCACAATCACCAACAGGCTCGCCGCCAGCACCGCTAGTCAGCTAGCCTCTAGCACCGCCAGCCAGCTTGCCGACAGCTGCGCTAGCCAACTAGCCGCCAGCGGTGCCTGTCAGCTCGCCACCAGCAGCACCTGCCTGCTCGCCGCCATCTGCACTAGCCGGCTAGCCGCCAGCAACGCCAGCCAGCACATCCCAAAATTCTAGGTGGCAAATTGTCCCCCCACGAGCCCAAGACACCTCGGGGTTTCGCGCTGGTGTGCATCCCCGAGGGCTCTGAGCAGGTAACCTGAGGGTAACCTACTGTCAAAATGCCTTGCGTTGTGACCCTGAGGTTTCCTGTAAGGAATTTCCATTCCTTACTGCGTCGTACGTTAGCGCGTACACCCAAACTCCTCGACTCATCACGTTCGGCCTCATTTATCGGTCCAACCTTTTTCCGAGTCGCGTCCGGTACTGTCACCACATTGCCGAACCTACCCACGTTCCCAGGTTATCGCCCTAGCACGCCAACCCCTATATAACCTTGTGCCTTCATTGCAATAGCGACCTTGTATTCTCACGTTATATTACATTGACACTTCCTATATTATAACAGCTGGTATCAGAGCCCGAGCTTTCTAGGAACCTTCCGTTTTCCCGTTTAATTAGTGAAGGTGGTCAGAGGAGATTAGCACGGCTGCACAGCAGTTGTCCTCGATCGTAAATATTTTTACGTCAACAACTACAACGTGTGCGCTAACTTCTGCCCCGTCCTGACCGCCATGGCCCCGGTAGACTCGACGGTTGAGGAACAGACGACCTCGACTACTGCGAACTCTGCCCGGGAAACTGTGGACCTGCAAGCATTAATGGAGCAGTTGAATAATTTGACAAGCGTCGTCAACAACCTCCGGGATGAAAACCAACGACTTCGCCAGGCGCAGGAAAGGCGTTCAGAGGAGCCGGGCGACGTTGCACGAAGCGAGGCGGGTGAGCAACAATCGTCGTCAGTGGAGCTGGCATGATTAGTGGCAACAGCCCCGCGCTTGACAAGTGGCGGCGTGCGATATCAGCAACCCGCTCCTTTCGACCCAGCTAATAAAGGCGTGACGGTGCGGCAGTGGATATTCGCCATGAATATCTATTTTAACGCGGCGGGCATCCGATACGATCAGAGGCGGATCAGCCACGCGTTAACACTGTTGCAAGGGGCCACCCTATAGTGGTGGAAGGTCATCGTCGACTCAGCGGCAACTCGCACAGAAAGACAGCACGAGTGGTCCGAAGAATTCGGCGACGAAGATGAGGCAGACTTGCTGTTTGGTGCGACCCACATTCGCACGTGGGCAACGTGGTGCGCAGAGCTTCACATGCGGTTTGAGCATGCTCCTGACTCAGACAAAGCGCGCGAGACTCTACGCATGTGGAAGCAGCTAGGATCTGTGTCCGAGTACACCGCATTATTCTTGACGTTGGTGGACAGATGTGGTTACATGCACGAGTTGGAGAAGGTCGATAGGTACATGTGTAGGCTAAAGCCTGAAATACAGTACCAGATAAAACTGCAACGCCCTGCGAAGCGGTTAGAAGACTTCATCCAACTCGCCAAAGCCGGTGATTCGCTTACGAAGCCGAGGACGAACTACTACGACGGAGGTCGCCCTCGAGAACAGTACCAGCGCGCCACGATAAAAGGGATGGACGCTGTGGATATTTACGCAGTTGCTCCTCGTAATACGGGGCTATGCTACCACTGTGGCCGACTGGGTCACATCCGACACAACTGCCAAGAATTCATAGCCGTCCAAAATTCTATGGGGAGAAAGCCGGAGGAGCGACTGGGAAATGGGTCGAGTCAGTAAGTACCAGGCCCCTTACTGACGGATAGGCTTTCTTCGCCCGAGCCACACAGTCCCCACCGGGTCGTGATCCCGATTGCTGCAATCGACCGGACTCGGACGAATAAGGGGGATGAAACTGCTGATCACCCTGTGTTGGTGGAGGGTAAAGTCAACGAGGTGTTGCTGAAAATATTCGTGGATGGAGGCGCGAGTCACAGTCTCATACAGCTGGACAGGGAAAAAAAAATGGGTATTCCCTTGCTCAAGTGTCTGCCCGAAATTGACGCCCGCCTAGTGGATGGAACACTGCTGGCTATACAGGAGCGAGTGGAGCACGTAAAACTTCGGATGGGGATGCTGGCGACTACACTCGACGGTTGCGACATGCTGCTGGGACGGGATTGGCTGCGACAGTACAACCCGAAGATCAACTGGACGACGGGCGGCTGCAGCATAAAACTCGATGGGATTCTCCGCGAGCAGTTCCTCCGGATTTAGCGGAACTGACTCGAAAATACCCCGAGATTTTCCCGAACGACCTCCCCGCTGGACTTCCGCCGAGCCGACCAGAAGACCATGGCATCGAGCTGGAACCAGGTGCCCAACCGACGGTACAGCGACAATTTCGGCTCAGCCAACCGGAACTGGAAGAATTGTAGCAGCAGCTGGATTACCTCCTGACAAAAGGATTTATCCGGCCCAGCACGTCCCCATATGCCGCCCCGATAATGTTCACAACGAAAAAAATGGAGGATTCCGCATGTGCATCGACTACCGCGCACTCAACAAGATCACCATCAAGTCACGTTACCTGATCCCGCGAGCTGACGAACTACTCGACCAACTTCGTGGAGCCAAGTTCTTCTCGAAAATCGACTTGCGAGGAGGTTACCATCAAATTCGCGTCGCCACCGAAGATTGTCACAAAACCGCCTTTCGCACTCGCTACTGCAGCTACGAATACTTAGTGATGCCATTTGGCCTCACGAACATGCCCTCGACATTTGAGATGACCATGAACGGCATTTTCTGGGAACTCTTGGATAAATGCGTTATTATCTACCTCGGCGACATACTAATCTATAGCCCCAGCAGGGAGCAGCACTTACAGGATCTTGATGCAGTCTTTACGCTGTTGCACAAGAATCGCCTCATTACAAAAGGGTCTAAGTGCGACTTTCTTAAGCAGGAGTTGGAGTTCTTGGGCAAAGTTGTTTCTACCGAAGGAGTGAAAATCGACCCCAAGAAAATCAAGACCATACAGGAGTGGAAGCCGCCAACCAACATAAAGGAGCTGCAGAGTTTTTTGGGTTTCGTCAACTACGTTCGCCGATTTATCCTGAATATGGCTGGGTTATCTGCCCCGCTAACTGACCGACTCAAGGATCACGATTGTTTTTGGTGGGGAGAGAAGCACCAAGCTGCATTCGACCAACTGAAGATCGCCCTCACGTCGCCGCCCGTTCTTCGCATCTCCAATCCTGACCGTCCATACGAAGTCATCACCGACGCTAGTGACATCGCCATCGGTGCAGTTCTCCTACAGGATTTCGGCGACGGATTACAGCCGGTTGCCTACGAATCACGGAAGCTGCAGGGCGCCGAAAAAAACTATATGGTACACGACAAGGAAATGCTGGCAATCGTCCACGCGTTCAAGACCTGGCGGTGTTACCTGACAGGCGCTGACGTCACGGTGCGAACCGACCACAAGTCCTTACAGTACATGCGCGCCCAACCGAGTCTCAACCCGCGACAGATCTGATGGCTCGATTTCCTCGAGTCGAATTTCCACTACACCATCACCTACAAACGGGGCGCCGACAATATTGCCAATACCCTGACTCGACCCACTGCCCATACCGCCACCATACTAGTCGCCCAGACCAGCCCATTACTTACCGGACTATTTACCTACGGCTACAAGATCGACCCTTTCTTCCGCTCTGCTATTCATCAACAACATACCACCGCCACCGAACACAATTTCAATAAGCACGATACTTCTCGCATCTGGGTGCCCGGCTACGATTTACTTCGTACCCTCCTAATACAGTTTCCCATGACAACCCTACCTCAGGACATTTCGGAGTCGACAAAACTACGAAAACGTTGCAGCGCAATTATTATTGGCCGAACATGGCCGATGACGTGCGCAAGTACGTGTCCTCCTGCACCGCCTGCCATATCATGAAATCATCTCATCAACGAGCAGCTGGACTACTGCAGCTGTTGGATCCGCTCGAGCGACCCTGGCAACACATCACGAAGGAGTACGTGACAGGACTGCCAGCCAGTCCCAGCGGAAACGACGCCATCCTCGTGGTCATCGACCGACTCACGAAAATGGCGCACTTCATCGCCTGCCAACAGACAATTACAGCTGAGCAAACTGCCTAACTGTTCATCGCCAATGTCATTCGACTGCACGGACTGCCTACCGCAATTATTTCATTTCGAGACCCGAAATTCACATCGAATTTCTGGCGTCACCTGTGGGACCAGTTCGGCACCAAACTGCAGTTTTCCTCCGCCTACCACCCACAGACCGACGGGTAGACCGAACGAGTCAACCAAACTATGGAGCAACTCATTCGGACTACCTGTACTGACCCACAAACATGGGAGAAATCCCTTCCGTTGCTAAAATTCACGTATAATAACGCGCCCTCAGCCACAACCCATCAGTCTCCATTTTTCCTCAACTACGGACAGGACCCAGTGGTACCCTCTACCCCGAACATCGAGACTCCTGTGCTCCGGTCCTAGAAATTTGCTGAAGACATTCTCGCCGCCCGCGAAAGAGCAGCTGAGGCAATCAGGAAAGCCAACCTGGTCGCAAGCCGACAAGCCGATCGCCATCGACGTGACGTCACTTACGAAGTGGGAGATCTTGTTCTACTCGACACTCGCAATTTGCGGCTGCCGGTCCCGAGCAAGCTACGACCCAGATTCTGTGGGCCCTTTCAAGTGACAAATTTGGTGACACCTGTCACTGCTCACCTCCGACTCCCGGCTGATTGGCGTCACCACCCGGCCTTCCACGTCAGCCTATTACGGCCCTATGTCCCCAAATGTCAGAATTAGCATGCCACCGCGAGGTACCGCAGCTGACGCCCCTGCATGAACCAACGACCGAGCCTTTGAAAATTCTCGGCCATCGGGTCACGACGCAGCTGAACCGTCACATGGTTGATTTTCTCGTCCGCTGGCGCGATCGCACGTCGGAAGATGACAGCTGGGTGCTGCTCGCTGAACTAGAATCACACCCGATTCTCACAGCGTACTATCAGCGTTGGAATGTTTCCGATGCACGCGGTCTCGTTTAGGAGGGGGGGGGGATAGTGTAAGGAATTTCCATTCCTTACTGAGTCGTACACTAGCGCGTACACCCGAACTCCTCGACTCGTCACGTTCGGCCTCATTTATCGGCCAAACCCTTTTCCGAGTCGCGTCCGGCACTGTCGCCTCATTGCCGAACCTACCCACGTTCCGAGGTTATCGCCCTAGCACGCCAACCCCTATATAACCTTGTGCCTTCATTGCAATAGCGACCTTGTATTCTCACGTTATATTACATGGACACTTCCTATATCATAACATTTCCCTCGAGGTCACTCCTTGCGGAAACCCTGCTGTTACCCCAAAGTGACTCTTGGGGGTCTAAGGGGGAACAAAGGGGAAACTTGGGAGTAACATTTTTTCCGGGTCGCGTCCCTGATACTAGCGGCCTAACGAAAGCGTTTATGACTATAGGATTGTACACTTGGTAACTACTTTTGAACATTACTGCACACACCCATTGAAGCATATCAAAACACATTTGCTCATTCATTATTAAAACATTATTAAACATGCTTCCAAATGCTACAAGGGGATCGATTAATTCCAGTAAAAAGGTTTTTAATCCCGGCGCGCGTTAGTGCATTATGAAAGTCTTCAACTATCATTATTCCAAGTTCAACAAAATTGGGCAGAAATCTACAGATAATACCGTCGAATTAACATAAGGAACTAGACTCAACCACCTAACGGTCAAGAAATATATTTATATAGATTAGCTAGGTCCTATTTGTTTATAGCCTAGCTAGTTTAGTTCTCGATGAGTACATCCCTAGTTTTGTATCCCTCGACGATTTTCTCTTAGACACTTTTCACGCTACTCTAACGTGGTATCAGAGTTAGGTTAGACCCCTTTTTCGATGTTTCTCATTCTTTCGCCATTACTCATGCTACCGCCGTTACTGTAGCTTTTTTTTTTTTTTTTTTTTTTTTCCGCGCGTGTGCACCTCTCTCAATTTCGCACAATGTAGCCTTCCAATTTCGCGCACTGTAGCCTCGATGCACTCCCCCTTAGCGTTCGCGTTGTTTTAGTATGGCAGCCAGCAGGCCGGCGAGCCAGCCAGCCCGCTAGCCAGCAAACTCACTAGCTCGCTCGCCAGCAGCACGCTAGCCGACGCGCCAGCCAACGCACCGGCCAGCACGCTAGCCAGCACGCCCGCCAATGCGCTAGCCAGCACGCTAGCCAGCACGCCAGTCAACGTGCCAGCCAACGCGCCAGCCAACTGGCCAGCACTTTAGCCAGCTAGCTAGCCAGCGCGTTAGCTAGCGCGCCGCCAGCAGTGCTGGCCAACTCGCTGATAGCAGCTCCAGCCAGCTAGCAGCCAGCAGCGTCCGCCAGCTTGCCGCCAGCACCTGCTGCCAGCTACTAGCCAGCAGCGCCTGCCAGCCCGTCACCGGCCAGCTCGCTGCCGCGCCAGCCATTGCCACTGCAGCAACTGCCTCTGCCACTGCAGCCACTGCCTCTGCCGCCACTGCTGCTGCAGCAACCTGCGCTCCTGCTACCGCTGCCGCTGCAGCCACTGCCGTTGCAGCTGCTGCCCTTGCAGCCGCCACTGTCGCAGCTGCCCTTGCAGCCGCCACTGCCACTGCTGCCCTTGCAGCCGCCGCTGCCACTGCCACTGCCGCCGCTTGCGCTGCCGCCATTTCCAATGCCGCAGCCACTGCAGCCACTGCTGCAGCCGCCACTGCCCCTGCCGCAACTGCTGCAGTCCCTACCGCTGCCGCAAACGCCACTGCTGTCGCTGCCACTGCTGCTGCCGCTACCGCCACTGCCGCTGCAGCTGCTGCCCTTGCAGCCACCCTTGCCGCCGCTCCCCTTGCAGCTGCCGCTGCAGCTGCTGCCCTTGCAGCGCCACTGCCGCCATTACCCTTGCAGCGGCTGTTGCCGCCGCTGCCACTGCTTCCCTTGCAGCCGCCGCTGTCGCCGCTGCCCTTGCAGCTGCTGCTGCCTCCGCTGCCCTTACAGCCATCTCTGCCGCCGCTGCCCTTGCAGCTGCCACGCTGCCTCCTGCAGCTACCACCACTGCCGCAGCTTGCCTGTAGCTACGCAGCCGCTTCCTCTAACCAGCTCACAGAGCTGCCGCCGCTAGCCAGCTCACTGCTGGCCCGCCGCCGTCACCACCCTGCTGCTAGCTAGCAGCCGCCGCTGCCACCGGCTCTCACTGCAGCCCCTGTCCCGGCTGCCCCTATAGCAGCTGCCCCCGCTGTCCCTGCTTTTGCCGCCTCTGTCTTCAGGGCCGCAGCTACCAGCATGGCGTCTCCCGACGTTTTTGTTCTGCGCCTGGATGGGGAGAGGCAGGCAGTCGGTTTCGCCGCCTGGCAGGAGGAAGTTCTGCTTCAGCTCACGAGTCAGCGAGTCGAAGACGAGTCCCTGGACGCCCACGTCTCTAGTGAGCTCCCTGCTGTCCCCCGCCCGGGCGCTCTTGCTACTGACGCGATGTCTGAGCAGCAGACTATGCACGCTGCTGCTCGTACTGCCTACTCTGTCTGGGCGTCCCGCGACGCCACTGCTCGCATCGCCATCCTCAGGTGCCTGCCGGTTAATGAGCACTCCCACTTTGTGGCTACTGCATCAGCCCGCGCCCTCTGGCTGGCTATCCTCACTAGGTACTCCACTCCGTCGTCTGCCACTCTTGGTCGTCTCCTCCTCCCTTTCTTCCACCCCAACCTGACGTCCTTCACCACAGTAGCAGACTTAGTCGAGCACCTGCGCTCCCTCGAGGCCCGCCGGTGTGCGGCCTGTACTAAGGCCTAGCTAGCGCTCGCCTCGCCCCCCCTCTTCACCACTATCTACTTCCTTGTCACCCGCCTCCCTAACCGCCTAGCCCATGCCCGCAACGCGCTCCTCGCTTGTCACCCCTCTAAGCTCACCCTTACCCTCTTCTCCACCTCCCTGACTGAGGTAGAGGATCGCCTCCGCGCCATTGCTTGTTCCGCTAGCGCGCCGGCAGTCCCTATCTTTCAGGGTAGCGTTCCCTCCCCAGTGACAGTCCCTGCATCCGCCTCTGTAGCTGAGACCACTGCGGCTACCTCTGCCCCTGGCCGCTTCTCTGGCGGCAAGGGCAAGGGCAAGGGGGGCAAGGGTCATGGGGGGTTGGCAGCAGCGGGTGGAGAGAGTGCGGGTGCGGATGGAGAGGGTGGTCAGTCAGAGTTCGGAACTGCGCAGCATCAGCAGCAGCAACAGTCGTGGGGGCCGGCGGGCCCTAGGGGTGGTGGTTGGGGCCCAGGGGAGTCGGTCCCCTGGGGATCGCGTGGCTCATCTATGAGTCAGGGTGCTGGTGGTTCTGGTGGCGTGGTGAACTGCACGTACCAGCTGCAGACTGGCCCGCAGGTGGACCAGGTGTGCAGGCGCGAGGGGCACACCGCCGCTCGCTACTTTTGTCGCCTGGACGACCTCTACCGTCGTCAGTTCGGCGTGCTAGAGCAGGTACCCCCCTGGCCTGTCTTGC